TTTTGGGGCAGAGAGCTGGCTCCAGATTCAGTCTCTCCTGCTGAGAGGAGTGGCACATGGAAATCCTTGGAGGATTTCCCACACTTGCTAAGCCTTTACTCCGTCTTCCATAAATGAAGATCGTAATATCAGTAATACCACTGCTGTAGCTCAGTGGTAAAGAATCCGCCTGTCAAGTAGGAGACCTGGGTTTGATCCCTGGGTAGGAAAGAAGGAAATGGCAACCTACTCCAGTATTCTTGCCTGGGAAATTCATGGACAGAGGAGTCTGGGGGGCCATTGTCCACAGGGTCACCAAGAGTTGGACACAACTGAATGACTAAGAACAGAATATCAGTAATGAGATGGTCATGAATCTGCAATCATGTGATGCAGTGCCTATGGCCCAGCCTAGAATGTGCTTCCATCTTCCCTTACAAGACTCCCTGCATAAAGCTCATATGAAGAACCCTGCCTCTTTCATGACACAAGCATTTGAGGAAGGCCAGTGTGTAAGGGTGGCTCAGACAGTAAAGAATCAGCCTGCAATACAGGAGATGTGTGTTCGATCCCCGAGTCAGGAAGATCCCCTGGAGGAGGAAATGGCAATCCACTCCAGTATTCTTGCCTGGAGAATTCCATGGACAGAGGAGCCTGGTGGACTACAGTCCATGGGGTCACAAAGAGTTGGACACAACTGAGTGACTAACACTTTCACATTCACAGTGTGTAAGGAAAGTCCATGTCCTGGGGAAAACGAACGTCAAAGATCTACAGGGGGGACACTTAGGGTGGGAAACCACGGAGGGAGCAGGGAGTGGCTTCTGAGAGCAGTGAACTCAGTACAGTTGGAGGCAGCACTTCACTGGGTCAGGGGAGGTGTCTCGGGGAAGGGCCCCTTCCAGGCTGGGGGCTTAACCTGTTCCCTGGGCAAACTCAGGCCGGAGCAAAACCAAAGTGGACAACAGATGATGAGCTTTGTCTGAGACAGTTGTGGGTTTACTGTCACCACCAGCCAGGCCTTTAGACCCTGGACGAGTGGCTAAGACGAGCCTCAGCTGCCACACATGGGTGACGGGACATGCATACAGAGCACAGTATCTAGTCCCCCTGAGCACAGGGATGAAAGCAAACAGAAGTCTCTCCAGCCCACCCTCAGGCCTCCAGCGACCTTTGGTTTTTAACATTGCTTTTATTCCTTTGAGATGCAGTCCATTCATTTAAAAAAATGATAACTTGGACTACTCTTTGAAAAGTCTATAGATGACATTTCCTAAAGCTGGATCTGTGACTTAGTTAATGTTTATTGGGATTAAGTTACTGCTGGGCTCACCCTAAAACCCATCTAGTCAAACAGAAGTGCAGAACTTGGACGGGAAGTCCTGTCCCTGCCCTCACCACAGCACCTTTCTGGGAGAGGACTAGTGAAAAGGGGGTTCTGTTCCAATGGTAAGGGCTGTGGTGAGGTCAGGGGGATACATTAATAAGGCTGATATCCTGTTCTGGGGTTGACTGGACAGCATTTTGTGAGACCCTAGTCACCCCCATCCAAATTTCCCTGTTTAAGACCATGCAAAGCAACCAAAATGGTGCCCCAAAGTGGTCAACCGTTGATCAGGAAGGGATCTTTTTTCTCTTAAATATGTGTATGTGTATGGGGGTGTGTGTGTGTGTATTTAACTTTTTATTTTATGTTGGAGTACAGTTTATTATAGGCTCCCCCAGTGGCTCATTGGTAAAGTGTATGACTCTGTGACCCCATGGACTATACAGTCCATGAAATTCTCCAGGTCAGAATACTGGAGTGGATAACCTTTCCCTTCTCCAGGGGATCTTCCCAAGCCAGGGACTGAACCCAGGTCTCCCACATTGCAGGCAGATTCTTTACCAGCTGAGCTACCAGGGAAGCCCAAGAATGCTGGAGTGGGTAGCCTATCCCTTCTCCAGAGGAAGACACTTAGGGTGGGAAACCACGGAGGGAGCAGGGAGTGGCTTCTGAGAGCAGTGAACTCAGTACAGTTGGAGGCAGCACTTCACTGGGTCAGGGGAGGTGTCTCGGGGAAGGGCCCCTTCCAGGCTGGGGGCTTAACCTGTTCCCTGGGCAAACTCAGGCCGGAGCAAAACCAAAGTGGACAACAGATGATGAGCTTTGTCTGAGACAGTTGTGGGTTTACTGTCACCACCAGCCAGGCCTTTAGACCCTGGACGAGTGGCTAAGACGAGCCTCAGCTGCCACACATGGGTGACGGGACATGCATACAGAGCACAGTATCTAGTCCCCCTGAGCACAGGGATGAAAGCAAACAGAAGTCTCTCCAGCCCACCCTCAGGCCTCCAGCGACCTTTGGTTTTTAACATTGCTTTTATTCCTTTGAGATGCAGTCCATTCATTTAAAAAAATGATAACTTGGACTACTCTTTGAAAAGTCTATAGATGACATTTCCTAAAGCTGGATCTGTGACTTAGTTAATGTTTATTGGGATTAAGTTACTGCTGGGCTCACCCTAAAACCCATCTAGTCAAACAGAAGTGCAGAACTTGGACGGGAAGTCCCGTCCCTGCCCTCACCACAGCACCTTTCTGGGAGAGGACTAGTGAAAAGGGGGTTCTGTTCCAATGGTAAGGGCTGTGGTGAGGTCAGGGGGATACATTAAGAAGGCTGATATCCTGTTCTGGGGTTGACTGGACAGCATTTTGTGAGACCCTAGTCACCCCCATCCAAATTTCCCTGTTTAAGACCATGCAAAGCAACCAAAATGGTGCCCCAAAGTGGTCAACCATTGATCAGGAAGGGATCTTTTTTCTCTTAAATATGTGTATGTGTATGGGTGTGTGTGTGTGTGTATTTAACTTTTTATTTTATGTTGGAGTACAGTTTATTATAGGCTCCCCCAGTGGCTCATTGGTAAAGTGTATGACTCTGTGACCCCATGGACTATACAGTCCATGAAATTCTCCAGGTCAGAATACTGGAGTGGATAACCTTTCCCTTCTCCAGGGGATCTTCCCAAGCCAGGGACTGAACCCAGGTCTCCCACATTGCAGGCAGATTCTTTACCAGCTGAGCTACCAGGGAAGCCCAAGAATGCTGGAGTGGGTAGCCTATCCCTTCTCCAGAGGATCTTCCCAACCCAGGAATTGAACCAGTGTCTCCTGCATTGCAGGTGGATTCTTTACCAGCTGAGCTACCAAGGAAGCCCTCATGTGTGTGTTTGTGTGTGTGTATACACATATATATTTGACTTTTTAACTTTATGCTAGAGTATAGTTTATTATGGGCTTCCCCAGTGGCTAGTAAAGAATCCACCTATAATGTATGAGCTGCAGGAGACACGGGTTCAATCCCTGGATCAGGAAGAATCCCTGGAGGAGGAAATGGCAACTCACTCCAATGCTCTTGCCTGGGAAATCCCATGGACAGAGGAGCCTGACAGGCTATAGTCCACAGGATTGCAAAGAATCAGACACAACTGAAGTGACTTAGCAGGTATGCATATAGCTAATTAATACTCCAGTATAATCATATATAATCAATATAATCATATATAGTATCATTGGCATAGTGAAGGATAGAGAAGTCTGGCATGCTGCAGTTCATGGGGTCACAAAGAGACACGACTTAGCAACTGAACAATCACAAAATAGTTGATTAACAATTTGGGGATAGTTTCAAGTGTAGAACAAAGTGATTCAGTTAGCTTGTATCTATTCTTTTTCAAATCCTGTCCCCATTTAGGTGTTTACAGAATATTGAGCAGAGTTCCCTGTGTTATACAAGAAGGGCCCTGTTGGTTATCCATTTTAAATATAGCACTGTGTGGGACTGCCCTGGCAGTTCAGTTGTTAGGACTCCAAACGTCCACTGCAGGGAGCATGAGTTCGATCCCTGGTTGGGGAACTAGGATCCTACATGCTGAGCAGCACAGCCAAATATTAATAAATAAATAAAAAATAGGAAGTGCTCTTTGCCATCCTCCGTCCCCACCCCACCCGTCCCAGGGAGGAGGTGGCCTCAATGTCCTTGGGGCGAAGATCCAGCTAGAAGGAAGCAGCAGCCGCCCTCTGGCCATCTCTTTAATCTCCTTGGCTGCACATCCCCTCCCTCCCACCCCCTTCTTCCTTCTCAAGTCCCTGCTGTTAGAAATGTCTTAATCCAGAAACTGAGGGAAACAGGACATGGTGGCTCCAAATCCAATCAGCCTCGAAGCTACTCTGAGCCCACACCCAGCACCTGGAGGTACCTGAACGTGAGTTCCCTAGAAGCCCAGCACAGTCATCTCCTCTTCACAGCCCTGGGATGCAGCTGTCAGACCACATGAAAACCATTCTCCTCAAGGTTAAAACTTTAATGCACTGTTTACACATTGAAGCAAAAGAGGCTTGCATAATTAATGGAGCACAGAAAATTGAGAGACAGAGCACAAAGTATGCTTTAAAGGGAAAGAAAGGGGGTGGGGAGCTGAGCAGGAGGAAGGCAGACCCTCCGGACTCCTAGGGCACAGCTGAGCAGAAATCCATGCAGATGGAGGGCAGGTCCCTCTCCCATTTCTAAAGGATGGTCACCTTACCACGGGCCCCTTTCTAAAGGCTGCCCCCTCCCAGGTTCTGCCAGCAGTGGCCCCAGGGCAGTCTCCTTCAACCGGGCATTAAATCCTGGGAGCAGACTCAGTGTCAGTCTGGGAACCCTGAAGTCCTCCCTGGAAAGGCAGGCAGGGCAGGGGGAAGCCCCCACCCCCNCCACCCCCGCCACATCTCCTCTGCAGACACGCAGGATGCCCACAGCCCCCCGAGTCAGGAGGAATTCCTCCGCGTGTCATCAGCCAGGGGCGCCCGGCACAGGCAGCCTGGCATATGGTGTCTGCAATTTTTTTAGTGATAAGTGGCGGGCGTGTTAGCGGAGCCGCGGAGAAGCAGGAAGAGTCGGTTGGCTAATCACTCCCCGTCTCCTGCACCCTCGGGCGGAATCCTATTGCTTTATGCAGATGAGCTCATAACAGTTTCTTCAATTTGGCTTTTATAGAAAAAAGTGCCAGCTCCTCACACTGTGTCAACAGCCACCGGAGGGCCTACCACTTTACAACGCGAGTGTATTACTATTTAAAGACAAGCTTTTAGCCGAACATCAGTGCTGCCTTCAGAGTTTAATTACCGCCCTCCCCATGGGGCCCAATGAGCCAGCGACTCCTCCCAAGGGGCTTCTGCTTGGTGATGATCTTTAACTAAGTAAGTAAATTCCAAACGGGCTGGGCTTAAAGCGCACACATCTGATTTCCTACTCTGCTTTGAGACTGTGGATGACTGGTAATGAGGCGTGTGCAATTCAGGCTCCTGGGGCAATTAATTTCCCTTCGGAAACAAAAAACAAAAATCTATTGGAAAGCACATATAATAATCCAGTAGCATATAATATATGTTTTAGGCAATATATATATTACAGATGTATGTATATATGTTACAGATAATGTATCTTAAAATATATATTAAATTTGTATCTCCTTTTCTGAATTTGAGTTCTGAGAAAGAACTCAATAGCAGAAGCAAGCGCGTGAAACCACTTCCAACTTTATTAAAGCAGTCATTTAACTCTAACACCAAAAGAGGGCCTTCTCCTCTTAAAATCCTTTCTCAATGTACTGAGTTGAATGAAGCGGAATTGAAAGGATGTGTCCCAGCTTCTTTGCTTCCTGCATAGTGATCATTAAGCTATTAATTGCTCTTTCTTCCAAACCACAGTGCTTTTGAACTGTGGTGCTGGTGAAGACTCTTGAGAGTCCCTTGCACAGCAAGGCTATCAAACCAGTCAGTCCTAAAGAAAATCAACCCTGAATACTCATTGGAAGGACTGTTGCTGAAGCTGAAGCACCAATACTTTGGCCACTTGATGCAAAGAGCAGACACACTGGAAAAGACTCTTATACTGGGAAAGACTGAGGACAGAAGGAGAAGGGGGATGAGATGGTTGGATGGTATCATCGACTCAATGGACATGAGTTTGCACAAACTCTGGGAGATAGTGAAGGACAGAGGAGCCTGGCTTGCTGCAGTCCATGGGGTCGCAAAGAGTCGGACAGGACTTAGCAACTGAGAAACAACAACAAAAACAACCCTTAAGTAGACAGGGATTTGGGATGTATAACTGTTTTGTGGAGGACAGATTGACAGCTTAATAGTAGAGCACATTGAAATTTTATCCAAAAGTAGTCCAGAGAGTTAAAAATCCAGTAAAAGGCATTCAGGGTTGAAACGGGGTAAAACATAAAGAACGCTTTTATTGTCTTGTTTTTCAAAAATACAAAAAAAAAAAAAAAGATGAAACAGGCATCATTTCTATTTTTAGCTAAACCAAGTGGCAGAATGCTCCTGAGGTGTTGACTGAGCTCCATGCAGGCTAAGGTATTAAGTTTTCATTCCAGAAAATTCCAGAAACTTCTTTGATCATCTACTTTGAAATTAAAAAAAAAAAAAATGCACCAAGGTTGTGCAGCTATGCTGATGCAGAGAACAGGGGACAGCTACATAGGGTAAGTGGAGGTCTTAAGTGACAGTCTCCCATCATTTCTGTAGCCAACCTGTTAGAAGAAACACTGACTGAAACCCCCACCCTGGCCAGGCACCATCATAGCTATTTGCATAATTTACAGCAGGGGGTCCTGCTAAGGACCATGGGAGTAACAAGCCACCACCAACGGGAAGAATTCAGGAAAGGTCAAAAGGAGACTCCACTCTGTGCATCCTACCAACCTCCCAGAATCCTCCTCACTGGCATCCATCTTGGCTGAACAATGCATACACCACCAGGAAGGACCCTGGGTCAGAACGATCAGTCAAAGACAGCCCAGACACTAACCTCCTCACCATAAATCCCATGACTGCAAGCCACATGGCAGAGCAGTTCTCCTGGGCTCCCTTACCCTCCAGATCTCTGCCTGGGAGCTCCTTGCCAATAAAGTCTCTTGCTTTGTCAGCACATGTGTCTCCTCGGACAATTCATTTCTGAGTATTAGACAGGAGCCCACTCTTGGGCTCTCAAAGGGGTCCCCTTTCCTGTAATCAGACTCGTCTTCCATTGCTGGGCAACATTTGGGTTCTGCTGGCACAAACAGGAGAGGATGGGTGAGAATTTGCCTCTCTGCTAGCCTTCCAGACAATCCAAGTGGCCCCGAACGGCAGAGTCCAACAGAGCAGCTGGTAAAAGAGAAGGGGGTTTGCAGAACCCCAGCCTTAGCATCACATATCAGTGTGGAGAGGGTGGAGATGAAACAGTTAATCAGAGAAATAAAACCGTTCAGTTACCTGCTACTGTATGAGTTTCCTATTGCTCAGGAGGTCACAGGCTGAAATCAAGGGGTCAGCCAGGCTGGTCTCTCATGGGGAGGTTCTGGGGAAAACCACTCCCAAGCTCATTCCTGTTGTTGGCAGAATTCAGTCTCTAAAGGTTTGGGGGCCTCTGTTTTCTTGCTGACTGTCAACTAGAGACTGGTCTCAGCTCCTAGAGGTCACCTATATTCCTTGCCATGTGGCCCCTCCCCTCAATTTCTTCTCATGCTCTGACCTCTCATGCAAATTTAAAGGTCAGGCCCACCCCGGTAATCTCCCCACGTAAGGTCATCTTATTTGTGACCTCAATTACAGCTATGAAATCCCTTTAGCCACAGAATGTAACATAATCACAGGAGCAAGATCTCATGACCCTTGGAGGTTCCTCCCACACTGGATGGGAGGAAATCATACTTGGACTCAGGTCTTTGAAGGTCACCTTAGAATTATGCCACTCATAGCAGTCAGTGTGTAGGAGATCCCTTCTGTTCTTCTAATTTAAAACTTTTTAAAGAGTGAGAATTCACACGGAATTTTACCAGGACTTCCAGGTAGGTCCAAGCTAAGCTCTGGTAAAAGATAAAGCTAAATTTTTAGACAAAATGCACTCAGACCAAAACTTTGACCCCTTGGACTATTTTGAGTAAGAAATGAAATCGTGGGGCAAGGAAGTTCCACATCCATATTTGCAGCCTACCAATGATCCTGGGTATCCCCAGGTGGCTCAGCAGTAAAGAATCCACCTGCTAATGCAGGAGATGCAGGAGACGCAGGTTAGATCCCTGGGTCAGGAAGAACCCCTGGAGAAGGAAATGGCAACTCACTCCAGTATTCTTGCCTGGAGAATCCCTTGGACAGAGGAGCCTGGCAGGCTACAGTCCATGGGGTCATAAAGAGTCAGACCCGACTGAGCGACTGAGCATGCACACACTCTGATTCCACCAGAAGCCACAGTGCATGGGGATGACACGTGTGGACAAGGGCTGAGCTGGCTCCACCTGTGTTTTCTTGGCATGTGAAAGTTGCACTCTGCAAGAGGGTTTCACATCAGCTTTGAAAGGATGATTCTTCTTATTTAGCTGTCCTGTGAGACTGAGAGGCAAAGCTGACCAGAAAAGGACCAGAGCTACACAGCTCCAGTAACCTGATGTCACCCTCCTATCCTTGGAGGAGCCTCAAGCCTCCAAAAGTGGAAAGAGAAATAACCAAAGAGGAAATAAAACTTCCCAACAGAAAGACAGAAGAGGGCTGTCCTGGTGGTCCAATGGTTAAGAATCCACGTGCCAATGCAGGGGACATGGGTTCAATCCCTTCTCTGGGAAGATGCCACATGCCACAGGGCAAATAAGGTCATGTGCCGCAACTACGGAGTCCGTGAGCTGCAATAAGAGAAGCGACTGCATTGAGAATCCCATGAATCACAACTCAGAGTAGCCCCTGCTCACCACAACTAGAGAAAAGCCTTCAGACAGCAACGAAAGCTCATCACAGCCAAAAGTAAATAAATAAATAAATCTTTAAAAAGAAAGAAAGAAATAGAGAGAAGAATCACACACCAGACCAACCCACTGTGGGAGATGAATCCTCAGATGTACCATGAGGGTTAGGATGTGTGAAAGAAAGTGAAAGTGTTAGTCACTCAGTAGTGTCTGACCCTTTGCGACCCCATGGACTGTAGCCCACCAGGCTCCTCAGTCCATGGAATTCTCCAGGCAAGAATACTGGAGTGGGGAGCCATCCCCTTTTCCTGGGGATCTTCCCAACCCAGAGATTGAATCCAGGTCTCCTGCATTGCAGGCAGATTCTTTACTGTTTGAGCTAGGGATGTGTGGGCTTCAACACATGACATCTCTCAACTCTAATGCATCTAGAAACTCACCTTTCTGAGAAACAGGTTCACTGAGTACCCCATGTGCATCACCCTATGACTCCCTTTCAGCAAATCCACCCCTTTGCCTGAAATCATCTGTGTTAGAAATATTTCTTCTTCCACAATCTAATATTCCATCTCAGTGACTCCACCTGTGTGCTGCTGCCAAAGGTTAACTGCTTCATTTACTTTCTATCGGAACCAGATCTCAAAATATATTTAAATCTAATAGGGCTGACCATGTCTGTGGGAAAATTCTTTCATTCTTTTTTCATCTAGAGAAATCAGCACTTACACAGTCTTGATGCATTTTCACCTTTTTGCCTACCTTTGTGAATTAATTTCACTATGATTTGTGCCACGTTAGTCTACAGACTACAATGATATGCAGTGTTCTGAAAAAGTTTTCTCTTCATCCAACTTAATAATGGGCATTCTTTCCTTTGCTTAATGTACTGCAGGGTTGACTGTCATAAAAGAACATTAAGATCATCTGGAAATGTTTTCTAATTTTTTTTTTTAAGTCTAGGATTAGGATGCAAATCCAACCCGGAAATTGAACCATCTCTAAATTGCATCATTGTTTATCTGATTACCGCTCAAAACCATCTGCACTTAATTGTAAGACAACAAATCTTTTAACAACCAGCTGGGATTAAAGAACAAAGCCTCTTACAACGGTCTCTATTGGTATAGCTTAAAAATAAAAGCAGCAGCAGTACACATCCCAACATTTCTTTTTTAAAAACTTCATCAAGAGTTTTTGTTGATATAATCTGAGTGATGCTGTTATGAAAGTACTAGGGCTTATTTTTATGACCTCAGAAAGGGCATATGCACTGTTGCGCTTCTGAGAATTTCCAGGGGATTCTAGAGACCCAGACAATAGCAGTATCTTATTCAAAGTTGCATTTCATATGGAAAGGCTGCTGGTGACATTATAGAAGTCTGTTGTGGCTTCTTTGAGATTATTGTGTGAAAGACACATTTGGTGTACA